GTGGCATCGAAAATGAGTTTTTACCCCTGGCAACACTAGTCAGCCAGCGGAGACGTACGAAAAGAAGAATTACAGAGCTCATGATGCACTTCCGGTTTTTTAATCAACAAGCCGATTGCAGTTTTGCATTTCAGCTAATCATGTCTTAGCTACTACTAATTAGCTTTAGTCAAAACACCAACTGATAAATTAAAATTTACACAACTCAGCCCAAATTCTCCAAAAATGCCTTTCGTATCCTTTAGCCCAATTACGCCAATGAATATTAGTCCAGCAACAGCTGCGATAATTTTTGCATATTTTTTCTGGCTTATTTTATTGCTCTCCTTCGCACTTCAACACAACGCGGCCGGATTTTAGCAATTTTCGGCCAAATCTAATTTTTCTTAATCCTCCCAAGACCTAAACACTTATGTGAAAGTACTAACAGTTAAAAAGGAAAGCTGCCAACCCTCTCTTTTCTCTTCTTACTTTCTGGTGCCTTTCCTTGCCCCTTTTTACCACTTGCTCGGGGCTTCTTCATTTCCATATCGTCAATCACTCCTTTTTCTTTTCCTTTTGTTCACCGCCTGTTCTTCTTTCCTCCATTCGGCCTTCTATGTGTGCCGCTGGTCATTTTCTAACTTTTTTTAAAATTGCGCAATTTCTCGCAACTAATTGATTCGTACATTCATTACTGTCAAAACCAAGGTGCAGTGCAGTGTATTGCAGGTTGAAGAAGCGACAGGTGTACAAGGGAGGTTGAAACGAGAAACACGCCATCGCGCTTCCGGACGAACAGGCCGACATTCAGCACGAGCACGTGCGGCAGGGACTTACTCAGAAAGCGCTGGCGGGTACGGACCGCCAGACGTTGGGGTTAGTGCACCACCGTATGGCTCACAAGGTGGTGATACGTGCTGCAGTTGTGGTGTTGGTAACGCAGGACCACCAGGACCTCCAGGAGATGACGGTGCACCAGGTAATTTCACCTCTCGAAACCATATTAAAGGCTTGCACGGAAGACTGATAAATGTTAAATACTGCTGCTCAAAGTCAGGCATATATGCTCACTTATTTCGCGTGATCTTCTTTATGTACATGTGCCACTCCGCTAAAATGCGGAGTCCGGAGGGATGAGACTCCAGGATTTTACTTCTCCAGAATTTGCATAAAA